GAGGTTATTGCTGCCAAAGGAGGGTCAACCAGTTAAGTCCAAAGGTTCACATACTTTTTCCTCCCTGCGCTGTGAATGTTTACATGTTATGTGCAATTAAACCATGGAAACATCTAATGTTTGTGTAGTATTATGTTCAGCAGACTGTGTTCTTCTATTGTTGTGACTTAGATGATGTTCAGAGCACATTTTATGCCCAATTCATGCAAAACTCCACGTAATCTCAAGGGGTTCACATACTTTTTCTTGCAACTGTATATATGCCGAAGCATAGGGGCCATCCACCCACTGGCCACCCCAGGCCCCCATGCTTCAGCATATATGCTCCTTCCTTTTTTTTCTTTTAACTGCGGATGAAATATCTCATCCAACAGCACTGTCCACACCTACTTATGTGTATTCTGAGAGCAAGACCCTGTTGCTGTCAGGATAAATAAGTCAGTGCTGCAGCTGAATGACATCCTCATTTCTCAAGCAGGCTTTTTCCCTTTTTTAAGATGGGTATTTACAAGCTGTTGGGGGAAGCCTTGCCGGTTAGGTCGCATGGTGCCACATGCGCCATCTCCAAGATTGTACAAATGTCTAAATAGTGGCACACTGGAATAAAAGTTGTCCACATATAAGTGGTACTCCATATGGAAAAAGGATGACACCTATGTATGTATGCATGTGTATATATAGTGCACCAGTGCTGCCCTGTAGCAGTATTTTTTACTATAGGGCGGCACAAAAGACATAAAATTTAGGCCAAATGTATTCTGCGACATGTCTTTGCTTAAAAAAAGATCCCAATACGTGTAAAAATCAATTGGTTTACGTTAAAGTTAAAGCATTTACAAATGGCGGTATAGATACTGTAATATTTATTTATTTATTTTTTTTACTACTACTAATGCCGGTGATCAGCGACTTTAGCGGGACTGCAGCGGGCATTCTGACACTGGGGAAACTGACTTGGTGGCACTGGCATCCCTAGTGACACCAATACAGTGATCGGAGCTTTAAAAAAACCCAAAAAACTGACACTGTGCTAATGGCACTGGGCAGGAATGGGTTAACATGAAGGCGATCATAGGGTTAACTGTGCTGGGAGTGTTTTACTAGGGGGCGTATGCTTCACTGTAAGCACACTGCCCTGGATGGCTGTGCACAGCCATCCAGAGCAGTGTGCCTAAACTGACAGGGAGGAGGACTGTTGGTAAACAAAGCGGCCCTCCTCCCCGTCGGTGATTGTCAGTAATTACCAGCCGAGACCCAGTGATAGCTGCGAATGGGGGCGTGGGTAGGGCGCAAGTATGACTCACGTGCGCCCCCTACCCGGTCATGCAAAATCATGTATATATACGTGATTTTGCACATCTGTGCTGCCCTGTAGCAGTATTTCTGCTATAGGGCGGTGCGGAAGTGGTTAAAACCCACGCATACACAATGCTTTTTCTCTTCCCACCCCTCACCATCGCAACAATGCTGATCTCAGCTGCTACAGAGTTAAGAGTGTGAATATGCAGTTTTGGAGGTGCTGCAAATGACCCATGCATTGCATTTATTTTAGACTTTAAGACTTCAGTTTTCTTTTACTTATTGAGGCTTGTTGACTGGATAGTGTCATTTTATTCAAAAGATGAACTTGGCCTTTAGGGTCCACATTTTTTCAGATCTGTAGTGTTGCCACAGGAATTGTTAGCAATTTGTTTTGTATTAACCTTATTTTAGCCTATACTGTTCCTATGTCTTTAAATCTAAATTTTAAATTAACAAACTTTTTTTTTTCGCAGCTAAGTTTAAAGTGTTAAAATCTTCAAGAAATTAAAGGGGAACTATTGTGCATTTTCTGTGAGTACATGTTTAGTGCAATGATTGCAGTTTTCCTTAGTTTCCACTGACTTGCTTTGTGGTCATTTCATGAATGTATTTTTTTCAGATTTGTAGGGCCCAATTACAGAGTAAGTATCTAGATATTGCTTGGCTTGCCAGTCTGAGTGATAGACGTGCTCCGCGAGAGCAGGACAGTTGCACTTTTAAGAGAATTTACTTAGCACTGAACTCCAGGCAGACCACTAAATACACAGACAAAATACATTTTGAGAGCTGTTCTGCCAACAGCACAGCCTAGCCTTGTGGGGGAGTGGGCCTTTTCTTTCTCTGTTGCAGTTTCATTTTCACTTGCAGGTCTCCTCCCCATCTTGTGACTGGGCAGAAAAAGGAAAAGTAGTAGACTGATGAGCTCATGCATCACTCTTATGTGTCAGCTTTGCGCTGTAGCACACCTGATTGGCTTCTTCCACCACCCATGTCTGAACTCTGCTATACAGTAGACTTGCAAGAGGGTAATGCTAAAGTGGTTGTAAACCCTTACATATGTCTAGTGAAGTGACTGACCTCGACTGATACACTGAAATGAAATATATATTCCTATATAAGTTGTACCTGTTTATTTTCTCTAAATCAGTTCAAAGTGCAGAATTTATACAGTTTGAGCTTTCAGAATGTAGGTGGTGGGGAGCTGAAGTTAGACTGCAGAACTCAGTGAAGGCTGATTGGAGGGAAGGGATGACACCTGCCCCCATCACCCCTTTAAGCAAAACACAGGAACAGAGCTACGTCTGTCAATCACAGGCTATATGCTGAAGCTCCCTCCCCGTCACCTGTTTATCTCTTGGTGTCAGGAAAACGTGTCTGAAGTTTCTCATGAAAATAGCAGAGAAAGGAGACTGTAAACAGAGTTAAAAGTTAGTGCTCTGGATATAGACGAGTGCATACTATAGAGGGTTATGCTTTGTTCATATTTCATGTCTGAGGTTTACGACCACCCCCTAAGTCCAATTCAGTTACTTTACAGTGCTTGCACAGTAGGGCCTGTTGACGCTGACCATTGCATGAGCAGTACTGTGCTTAAATTTCAAAGAACAGTACTACACATGTCGGAGAGAGAGCTCCAGCTCTTATTGCACAAACAATGGCAGGGCACAGAAACACTGCACTGGGAGGCAGTGACCCCTATTGCAAATACGTTCCACATGCAAGGCAGTAGTTCGCATGTCAGTGTCTTCAGGGAGACACCCTTTAGGTGGAAACATTTATAAGCTAGTAATGCTTTTAAAACTGCACTAAAATGGGAACAAGCAGCAGTGGTGACATGAGGTATGCTGCTAAATTGTACTCATTTATTTTTTTCTAGGAGTGTTTAATATTCCTTTAATGATTACAGAGCTGCTTTAAGTTTTGCTTTATATCTGCCTGGAGTTCAGCTTTAACTTCCTGGCTGCTTTTAGCACTTCAGTGCTTGTGTTTCTGGCACACACATAAATTGAAATTGACTCTACTAACTATAGTGTGATCAATGTCCAGATTGAAAGAACACCATTTCTTGCCCATGACAATAAAAGTGTCGGTCAATGCAGTTTCACAAGCCTTTGGCCGTGTGAAGATATGTCATGTTGAAAAGAGTCAAAAATGTGTTCCCTGATGTCCCTGAGGAATGCAAGTCCAGGGCTGGTAACGTGATGAGAGACCTGGAAGCCAAGGCTAGATGTTGGGTCCTTAAAGCCTCACTTGATGTTTCAGTGATCTTTACATAGTTTTTTAGGACCAAGTTGATCCAAACCAACTATGTCCTTCAAACACATGTAGTGGCTGTCAGTGCTGTGTAGCCTCAGCTACGTGCAGTATACAACTCTGTGTTCCGGCAGTGGAATGGGGACTTCCCATCTAGCTCCCAGAATAAAATAGAGGCTGAGTTCTGCTCAGACATTCACAAGAAAGCCTTTGTATTTTATGAATGAATAGAAGGCTTTCCTGTAAGTGGCTGAGGTGGAGATTTGTGACATCATCTGCCCACCTTGTATTCACTCAGAAAGCACAAAGCTTCCTGTAACTGGCTGAGCATCCCTCAGGCTACGTTCACACTAGCCTTGTGTGCAGGCGGTAGAGAGGCGTTTGGTAAGCGTTTTTACCGCTTCCCAAACGCCTCTGCCAATTCTGCACATTACAGCACATGGTGCTGTTCTAACGGGAGCGTTTGCATCGCGTCACGGCAAAACGGACGCCTCTGGACGAGTCAGGAGGCTTTGAAGCCTCCTATTCTCGTCTATGGTGCCGCTCCGCAAACGGCCGGCGTTTGCGGTGCGGTTGCGACGCGTTTGCGGAGCGGTAACACCCACTCAAACTGCATTATAGGCGTTTGTGGGGCGTTATTAACGCTCGGCAAACGCCTAGCAACCGCCGCTAAACCGCGTTTGCGGAGCGTTTGCCGAGCGTTAATAACGCTCCGCAAACGCCGGACCAACGCTTGCCAAAAGCTATAGGGGCGTTTGGCAAGCGTTGGCAAAACAGCCTAGTGTGAACGAGCCCTTAGTCCAACACAATTTTGTTCCAGGAGCGGGATGGGAGGGCCCTATACCACTGCGGGAATACAGTGCTGTAGGGTTTGGAGCTGAGGCTACATACAGTTCATACAGTGTGGACAGACGCCGCATGTGTTAGTGAAGGTAGTAGAAATGGTCTTCAACAGTCTTCAGTTATGCTGAGTAAATGGGAACATTTTTAAGTGGGAGTTATTCCCACTTGGCTGCAAAAGTAGAAATACACTTCGGTTTAACGTTTAACTGCACCTTATACACTTGAATAGTGAAGCTCCCCCTCCAATCCCTTAACAGTCTCCTACTTTGCTGTTCCAGATCTAGCGACATAGCTGACAAAACCTCAGCTGCTTGGTAAAATCTTCTGAGCTGGGCTCACGCATGCCTTCATTCCTATGGAGAGTTCATACTCAACTGGAGCATGGGGTGTGAACTCCCTAGGATTGAATGGAGAGCGCATAGGTGTGCTCAGCTGAGAGGGTTTTGTCAAGCGGCCCCTGTAGCTTTCCCAGATATCTCACTGGATTGGACACAGATGAGTAAAATACTTGTAGGGAGGCCATCTAAGCTGCAGCTGTACTTTAACTCTTAATTTTAAACCAAGCGGTTTAATTATTGCTGTTTTTGTTTTTTTGTTTGCAGGTGTAAAATCTTCTACAGGATGGCAGTAGTGATCCGCCTACAGGGGCTTCCTGGTAATGCTGGTTCAGTTGATATTCGGCATTTCTTCTCTAAACTGAATATCCCTGATGGAGGTGTGCACATTATCGGTGGTAAACTTGGTGAAGCCTTCATTATATTTTCAACAGATGAAGATGCCAGACGTGCTATGGGTCGAACTGGTGGTATTATCAAGAATTCACACGTTCAGCTTTTTCTCAGCAGCAAGACAGAAATGCAAAATACTTTGGAATTGAGTCGTAGAGGTAGCAGAAAGCATCCAGCAGTACCACCAGGTAATAATACATTTGGTGCAAAGAAAGGGGTCAACCAAAAAAAATTTGACAAAAGCATCTCTGAACCTGGAGTGGACAACAGTGGTACAAAACACAATGAAGCATTTCCAACAAAGTATGACAGGAGAGAAGTGAAAATTTCCCAAAATGCTGATAGTGTTTATGTATTTTTGTATGGGCTTCCATACAGTGCAACAGAGGAAGATATCAGGAAGTTTTTTGCTGGCCTAGATGTGGATGAGGTCCTCTTTCAATTGCGTCAAAATGGGCTTAAAAGTGGAAATGGCTATGTGAAATTTGGAAGTGCCAAGGATGCAACTGCAGCCCTTAGTCGTGATAATGAATATATTGGTGAAAGGTTTATCTCTCTTAAGAAGACATCTGAAGAGCAATGGATTGCTGATGGTGGTCATGTAGGTGGACCGCATTCCAAACAACAAAGGAGACAAAGGTCAAGGTCCAGATCACCACAAAATCAGCAGTATTATATACACTTGAAGAATTTATCATATAACGTGGAGAAGCAAAATATTAAGAATTTTTTTGGGTTTGCTTGATCTTCCTGATTCACAAGTAAAGTTCTTGCTTGACAGGCACCAGAACAGAACAAGAGAAGGCTTTCTCATGGTAAGAAGTGAGCGGCAATATGAAAAGTGCCTAGCTATGAACAAAAGCAATTTAACTGGTCGGCAAATTATTATAAATCCTATTCCTCGAAAAGAAATGTTGGATATGATAGAATCCTATGAAAGTCGATCTCCTCCTAAAGTGGAGAATTTCTCTGCTGATTATCAAAGTAGAGACCAGTCTCCAGTTAAAAGATGTGTATACCTGAGGAATTTTCCATTTGATGTAACCAAAGCTGAAGTTCTGAGATTCTTGGCTGGATTTCCTGTGCATGAAGATGATGTTTTCTTGCTTTTTGACAGCAACGGAGTCGGGCTTGGGGAGGCATTGGTGACGTTTTCCACTGAACAGCAAGCTTTTCTTGCTGAAAGTTTGAATCGCCAACGATTCTTAGATACAGAAGTCCTTCTGAGACGTATTTCTGATGAACAGATGAAGGAATTTGGAGTTGTTATTGATAAACCAGTGGAAAATGTTTTGGTCCAGTCACCAATGTACAGAGATGAGTACAGTTTACGTGAACCTGTTGAACGGACTTATGCCTTGCATGATGATTTGGCTTGTGCTCGTGGAGATTTTAGACGTTCTCCAGAAAGGTTTCAAGGCTCCAACCCATTGGATTTTATTGGTCGAGATCAACTTGCTAGAAAGTTTGACAGGGGAGGTCAAGGTGACATTGATTACTATCATTCTTTACCAATCCATGGCCAAGATTTTGAAGGCAAGCCAGCTGGTGGTCTTGTACGTTTGAAGAATCTGCCATACAAAGTCACTAGGGAAGAAATTTTAGATTTCTTCTATGGTTACGATGTTGCCCATAATTCAGTAAAAATCAAGTATAAGGAGAATGGAATGGCATCAGGACTTGCCACAGTCTATTTTAACAGCTATGATGAGGCCTTGGCTGCTGTTAATGAACTTAACGACAGGCCCATTGGAGCACGCAAAATCGGTTTATCTTTGACAAGAAGTTAAAAAAGCGCGATTTGAATATTTCAGTAATCCATTGTGTTACTCTTCATTGAGACTTTGGACCGTTTTTTACAGGTGGATGTTTTTTGTTTTGGTTTATTTTTTCATAATTGACGATCGGAGCATTCCATATTCTTATAATCTGTAAATATAGTGAACACGTTTGACCTATCTGGCTGTATGCTCTTTTTGATTAAAGTGTTCTCTGTGTCCATATCTATGCCTGGGCATTTAATTTGCAAAGACACCATTGCAAAATATCTATAGGCACGGCTTTCTCTTTAGTTGAAACAGACTTTGGAACTTTTTTATATACTTAAGTCTGGAAATTGAAAGGCCAGCATCTTTACTTTGCTACATTTAAAGGTTTGGGGAGAATGCAGGTTCTTTTTTCATATTTTTGCCTTTTTTTGTATTTATACAACAGGCCCCACATCCCCAGTCTCCAGACATTGGACAGTTTTGAGTAAAGTGTAAAAATAAAACATCACTTGGAAAGCCCACATTGTTTCACCCAGTAAAGGAAATTTTGGAAATTTCTACAATGAAACCGGTCTTTGAGTTCATATTTCAAATATAAATATGAGAGACTCAAATGGTTTGGTATGGTTTGACTTCTGTTTATTTGGTCATGTAGTTGCTCATTTAAACATCAGTGAGACATCATTTTTTGGCTACCTTTTTATTGCTCTAATTGGACAATTATATTTTGCTGTAGATTTAAAATGTCATAGATTGTGATCTATTTGGCCATCCTATGTGCCCCCCCCCCTTTTTTTTTTCTCTTTTGGGGGGGTGGGTATGTTAGGAAATTGAGGATTAGTTGACTGCTCTTATTTTTAGGCGAGCGATGGAAGGCCTTGAAACGCTACAATATGTGAAGGTTCTGTTTTGTGTAGCAAAAAATTATTGTTAAGGTTATAGTGAGCAAGAGATCTGGAAAGGTACCAACTATGGAATTCTCACTTACAAACCAACTCGAGTCTTGGCATGTTTTTAGGATGGTTGCAAAGGCATCTTTACCACTTTTCAATTCTTGATATCAGATGTCATCATTTTTCAGTACATAGTGATCTACTGCGAGTGGTTTCTTGGTTTTTGACAGTCGGACGTGGCTTATGGTCAAGGGGATTTTAGAGGTTCTCCAGAAATGATTCGAGGCTGTAAACCATTGGATTTTGTTGGTCAAGAGGAACTTGCTAGAAAGTTTGGCAGGGGAAGCAAAAGTAATATCTATTACAATCCTTACCATTTTGTAGCCAAGGTTTACAAGGTTTGTCAGCAGGTGCTATTGTACATATAAAGAATCTGCCATACAAAGCCACTATGGAAGAAATTTTTTTTCTTTTTCTTTCGTTACAATATCACTTGTAAATTCAGTAGAAATCCAAGTTCACCAGGCATGGAATGGCAAAATGCTTTCCACAGTCCACTGTGAACACCACCACGTAATGGCTGCTGTTATTAAAAAGGTCCATTGTATTTTCAAAGTTCAGAGCCTCAAAAAGATGATCTTTGACCATCTTAATGTGCCCCCCCCCCCCCTTTTTTTTTTTTTTTTTTTTACATGGTTTGTTGGGAAATTGATCAGCTGTCTGCATATGTTTTTATATCCTAGAAGAAATAGCATTGAAAGCTTTGCGAAGCATGCAGGTTCTAGTTGTGTAGCAAAAAGATTGAAGATACAAAATTGTCTTTAGAATGATTGTGATGGCATCTTTCCACTTTTCAGTTACTAATTTCTGATCTTAGTTGTTGCATTTTCCAATATATAGTGATCTGCTTTGAAGGTTTTTCGTTCTATTTCCTTTACGAGGAAGAACTCTCTCATCTGATTTTATATGTAATTATGATTCGTGAAACAAGTAAATGCACAACAATGCCCTAGTTTTGAGATTGTTTTTCAACTTGTTTTTTGCAACCAGCTTTAAGATCGATTCATATATGTATCATTTTTTTTTTTTTTTTTTTTAAGATGAGGGAGTTGATGAAGGGCATGTGATTTGTTTTAACCACTGGGTGCACGTGCTTCTTTGTTACTGCTCAGTTCTGATGTTGCCAGTTATATATGGCTAAATGGGCATATTGAGGGAATCGGTGAGGCGTATGATGTGTTCAGTAAATCCTGATTTTTTTTTAGCTTTGACCATTATCTCAGCATTGCTGCAATTTTTATGGTTGTATCAACAAATGGATACTTTTCCAAAGAAAAAGCCAGTGACTGAAAGTAGTGTGTGCTGATTGGACTAACAAAATGGGCTACAGTGGCAACTGTGGAAAAGGAGGATTGCAAACACCAGTTCACGGCAATATAAGGTGTGGTGAATTCCACCTTTCAAAGCAATTTGGTTTCAGTGACTGAGGAAAAACAATGCACGTTTTATTTGAAGAACTGGGGAAATATTCTTTTGTGGAGAATTATGGTTTCTGTTGGCTTATGCTTCTGGAAAGGATGAGGATATGACAGACATCACAGGATCCCTACAGCAAGGTCTCATAAAAGGAGATTTGGTTGGTTCTTTTCCCTACATTAATTACATTTTACTATTAGTGAGTAAAATGGTTACCTATCCAAACTGAGCATTACTTCGCTGAAATGCCTGTGTCAGTGTCACAGTTCTAGGAAGCCTACTTGATAGGCACCAGTAATATCAACTTTGGTTATGTGTGATGGCCTCTAGGCAGAGATTTGGTCTGGTAAAGAATTTTGAGTGTGAGCTGGAACACTGTCGCCAACCTAATGTGCAACGTTTGTGTGAATTATTGACATGTAAATTGCCTAAACATTCTAGTTCTGTGGTTTATGCACTACTTTTTTTGTGCTTTCAGTTGTTTGGAATATAGTTTAGGAGCACACTTGTTTCTAGTGTGTAGGCGGTTGTCTGCAGTTATCTCTGCATTGAGGAAGTGATGCTCTGACAATTCTTCAAAGATGCGAGAGTGTGGGATCGGTACAGTTTTTCTATCCCCACCCCTTTCCACGATAGTGGAATATCAGTGTTTTACTGTATGTTGCTAATGATTGCTTCTATCTCCCTTGGCTTTGCTTGTGCTTTCTAGGGTTTTCAGACACCCTAGTGTTAGTGAAGAATTCTGGCAAGAGTGAGTACCATCAATAAAGTAACTGAACATTTATGGATTCTTAAAAACACAGTATTTTTTCACTCTGGGATTAAATATGCAAGTTGAACTGCTTGGTACTAGTTTAGTATAGGTAGTGGTAAAGGAAAAGATGTAGACTTTAAAGTCTTAAGGCATGCACTGATTTTTGACAAGGATGCCAATGCTTATTTAAAGCAGGTTTCTTTCTCCCTGAATTTCTCTGCCTTATAGTGCTATCCTAAACAGGGGTCTTCCAGGGGAATCGGCTCAAATGACATGGACTAAGTTTCACACCCAGCAAGTTGCTTCAGTTGATAGGAGCAATATGATTCTCATGCTTGTGCTGTTTTTGAAGATTCCTTTATGGTGGTTAAAAGGGTTTCTACTAAAAAGTGAAAAAACAGGTACATATGCCTCCCTGTTGCTGATTGAGCCGCTCCACTGTTACAAGTGGTATGAACAACCTTTACAGCATGACTCAAGCACAAGCTTTTTAAACTTGAGTTTAAAAGTAAAGATTTCTAAGAATGTGTTCCAAGTACCCTGTTGTAAACAGGATCACCCTGGTTTTCACTTACTAATCTTACTATTCCATTCTATGGTTGTCGATGGTTTAAAGAACTTTACCTTAACATAATAAAGTAACGATACAGATGCTTAAAGAAAAATTCAAATAAAGAACTTGAATCTTATTTATCTTGACTATATATATATATATATATAAAAAAAAATTCCTCCCGTGTGATCATGTAATTGTTGGAACTTAAAGCATGCAACCATTTTCCTGTAATCTAAAAAACCATTTCCTGAGTATTATGGAGTCTGCCATTCTCCAAAAGCTAATCGCTTAAATCAGTGTGTCCCTTTCTTGGAACACACCTGCATAAAAGTATGTCTGTCTCTTACTCTAATTTTACAGTTATGCATCCTTGTACCAGGTCTGAGTACCGACTGCATAACTAGCATCTGCAAAAGGGGATTGGCAATGGTAGCCCACCTTGTCTGTCAGGAAATATGATACACGCGTCTCCTTTTCAAATTCATGTATTATAGAGGCTGTAAAGATGTGCTCACTCTGCCTCACATTGGTTAAATACTTGTTTAGGAATGATTTATTTAAAGCATAAAAAAAATAAAGTTGCAGCATTGTGTTGGCCTTGGCTAATATGCGGGGGAAAAATTAGCTTTTGCACACATTCCATGGCTTCAGTCAACACAGAACTGAATAATTCCTTTTAGTGAGCAACTCAGTCCAAAGTTTGCCCAAGAGAATGGAGTGTCAAGTTTGGTGGACACAGAAAAAATGTCAGTGGCCTTCATCGGTAAAACCATTCCTGTTTTGGGGGTTGTCTCCTTGTTCATCTGTTGTTAATTTCATTACCACCCAAGCAGCTGAAACTGATTAACAACCCCCTCAGCTACTTAACTGACCAGATCAATATTTCCGGAGTTTAACTGTCTTGATGCTATACTCTGATTAAAAAGTGTTCCTTTAATGTTATTGAGTAGTGTACATAAACAAGATAAGGTTGAGCGAAAGTACTGGAAAATGTTGCCATCCATTGTCTACTGGGCAAGTGCTGAGCCCAGAGAGGCCAATGACAAGGCTTGTATACAAAAATAAAGACACGTAATGCTCCCTAATGGTACTGTAAACACTTTACACAGGAATAAATAACACTGGTCATAGAGAAAAAGAACGAGGGCAATCAAAGGGTTTTTGGTATATATTTACATATGAACAGCCTCTACCTCAGAGTTAAGTACTTTGATATCTATATATCAGAGAGATTTCCTAAATTAGATGTCACTGCTCCTACCACGTATTCAAAATAAAGATCTGTCAGAAGGGGAGAGGAAACCCACATAAAAATATAATAGATTGTACGCTCCTTGAGGGT